TTAGTAGAGACGGGGTTTCACCATGTTGACCAGGATGGTCTCGATCTCTTGACCTTGTGATCCACCCGCCTCGGCCTCCCAAAGTGCTGGGATTACAGGCTTGAGCCACCGCGCCCGGCAGTTAACAAAAATATTAAAATATTATATAGTTTCCAATAGCTAGAAGGAGCATACTGAATGTTCGCGACACAAAGAAATGATAAATGTTTGAGATGATGGGTATGCTAATTACCCCGATGTGATGACTGTACATTATATGCATTAACACATCACTGTGTGTCCCATGAGTATGTACAATTATTATGTGTCAGTTAAAAAATATACATCTTTTTTAAAGGGGTGAAGAGCCAAGCAGGATGGAATTGCCTGGAGTCCTACAGGCAGTGGGAGAATCAAGAAGCCTCAGGAGGTCAGGTCTCGGCGGAACAGACAGTTATCTGGTGGTGTTCACACTTGTTTCTGAGCAATGGACTCCTTTATTCAGACAAAAATCCTGCTGATAATTTTACATATTAAAAAATAGGAAGCCAGTGTGTTGGCTCATGCCTGTAATCCCAGCACTTTGGGAGGCCGAGGTGGTGGAATCACTTGAGGTTAGGAGTTCAAGACCAGCCTGGCCAACATGGTGAAACCCTGACTCTATTAAAAATACAAAAATTAGCTGGCTGTCGTGGTGGCCACCTATAATCCCAGCTATTCAGCGGGCTGAGACAGGAGAATCACTTGAATCCAGGACGCGGAGGTTGCAGTGAGCCGAGATCGCACCATTGCACTCCAGCCTGGGCAACAAGAGCAAAACTCCATCTCAAAAAAAAAAAAGGAAGGCTAGAGGTCAGGGGAGAGGACGAGAGCCTGCCCGCAGTTTGCCTGTGTCCCCTTTGGCAGCTGCTGAGGCACCTCCAAGAGCTCCATGGGTCCCAGGAAACCAATGATCCAGTCTAGTTACCTAATTTTACAGATGAGGAACTGAGGCCCAGAGAGGTTGCCTTCCTGAAAAGTAAATGTCTGAAGCAGACATTTGCACAGCTCCTGCCTTGCACCCCACCCTGCCCCTTCAGTGAGTGTGGACATCAGGAATGACTGGGTCCAGAAACCCAGTTCACCATGCTCCATTACCCAAGCTTGAGCTGATGTGAAATGTACATGGTGTGGCCGTTAAAATTAAACTTTCGAATCTCCTTAACCTCAAAAAGCAGATAAAGAAATCAGGCCAAATACACAGAAATTGATGTTCTCTACTGAGGAAAAAAAAAAAAAAAAAAGAAGTTAACTTTAGCAGAGTGAAAATCTCAACTCTGTGCAAAGGGGACTGGCCTCCCTGAGCTCACAGATGTTTGGGTCACACTCAAAATATGAGAACTGCCTGTTCCCTCCCATCCTCAAGACACCACCTCACCCCAGGACCTTGGCAGCCTTTCCCAAGCTTTAAGACAGACCAAAAAGAAAACGTTCTACGGTTTAGTGAACAGTGAGGAAGAGGCAAGAGGATGGTTTGCTGACGTGAAACAAGAGGAGTCTGTTTGAAGTTGGGAAGACATGTTGAGTTCGGATGCCTGTTTGACGTGTCACATGCCAGACCTGGAAACACACTGTCCCTGGCCGTTCAAGAATCTTGAATGACCAGGTCAAAGTGCAGCAGCAGGAAAAAGAGGAAGAATTTAAACAATCTGGCTGTGTGTGGCTAGCCCATCAGCGGCAGCACCAAAATCATCATTCAACGACAGCATAATTAGCCTAATAGCTGCAATTACCTCAATAAGGATAAGAAATTATGCTGCTGCTCGTGGCTGGTAAAATTAAAATACATAAATAGAATGACCCCAATTGGAATTTTAGATGTAACTCAGGTAGAAGTCAATCTAAGACAGGTAATGATACAAAGGTACCTAGAAGGTGGTCCTTCAATATGAATCCCAAAGCTACTAATTACTGGGAGAAACATGTCTAATAGCTTTAGAGTTATTAAAAGCCTAATGAAAATGATGAAAAGAAGTTTTTAAGAAGCAGATGTAATGCAGAAGCTGCAACAGGTGAGGTGATGGTATTACTGCTGTGGGCAATAATGTTGCTTATTCCTTGTACTGACGGTAGGGGCTAAGTCTGATTCATCTTTGTAAACTGCCCTTCCCAGCACCTTCCAAAGTTGGCTAGACTCATTTTACCTGAGACCAGACCTTTTGCACAAGAGCTAATGCATACCATGTGAATAATGCCGTGGAAAGTTACCTGGAGAACTTACCCACACACTTTCCCTCGTCTGAAAACTGGTAGCCCTCCACACACTCGCAGCGGAAGGTCCCTGGGTGATTATTGCAGATGGCGTGGCTCCCACACACTGAGGGTTGTTCTGAACATTCGTCAATATCTGCAGCAAATTTTTTTAATGCAGACTTTTGAAAACCTCTTCAAACATTACTGACTATAATAGTATTTTCACCTAAGAATAGATCAATTTTAAAACAATTTTTTCGTTTCTTTTTTTATTTTTTTTCCAAGATGGAGTCTTGCTCTGTCACCCAGCGCTAGAGTACAATGGTGTGATCTCGGCTCACTGCAACCTCCACCTCTCGGGTTCAAGCAATTCTCCTGCCTCAGCCTCCCGAGTAGCTGGGGCTACAGGTGCATGCCACCACGCCCGGCTAATTGTATTTTTGGTAGAGACAGGGTTTTACCATGTTGGCCAGGGTGGTCTCAAACTCTGGACCACATGATCCACCCACCTCAGCCTCCCAAAATGCTGGGATTACAGGCATGAGCCATCACACCTAGCCTAAAAGTAGTGTTAAATATAATTTTTGTCTGTGCATAACCTGAGAGAGTGATCCCCAAACCCTTCTCCTAAGGAAATGTGTGCTTCCCCTACCTCTCCTGGAGTTACTTGTTGAGCCTGGGGCCCCTGAACATGGGTCTCTCCCATTAGATTGGCAAATACGTGTTATAAGGACACAGAGACTCATCTTTGGACTCTGAATATTGAGAGTCTCTGAATATTAAATATACTCTCAAGCCCTAAACTTGAGAACATATTTAAATATGCTGTTATTTAAAAATATTACTTTCTCCATTACAGTTACAAAGAAAAGTTGAACAATTTAAAGCTTAATTGTGAATTTTTGAATATTATCTAGGGCTTAATGGACTAAAAGGAAAGTCATTCATTCATGAGACTGTAAATGAACTAGGAGAGTGATGTCCTTCTTTATGTCAATACTATTGCCACCATCATGGGGTGGCATGGAACAAACAAACATAGGCTTTGGAGGCAGACATAGCGGGGTTCAAATACTGCTTCCTTTAGCTACTGACGTGTGTGGCCTTGGGCAAATTATCCAACCACTCAGCCTCAGTTTCCCCTTTGGTAAATATGAATAATAATATTCATCTGGAGGGTTCTTCTGTGGATTACGGAAAACGGATGTAGGTCAGAGAAGCCCCCAGCAACGCTCCAGGTGCCCAGCTGTTATTGTACCAACCAGGGATTCACCCAACACCCCAGCCATGCTGATGAATTTGGCCACTCTGGGAACACGCCCCTCAGATGGCCCCTAGGCTTTGGGGGCCAGGCTGTGGCTACCACTCGAGTAAAGCTGGTTGGCCCAGGCGATAAACTGAGCGAACCTGTCGTTCCCCCGGTCACCTGGCCACTGATGGGTTGAAATGAACAGTTACACAAGGTCCTTCCCATGCCAACCTCATGCTCAGAGTGTAGACAGCTACTTCTGGCAGTTCTAAAACCCTGAGACGTGCATGAAGAGATCTCATAATGGCTGAGACCACACAGCTCTTCTCCTCCCATACAGCTCTTCCCCTCTCATACAGCTCTTCCCCCCTCATACAGCTCTTCCCCAGCACTTTCATGTGTATCTTTGACACATGGGAGTCAAAGCCTCATATGTCCATCCTCAATGGCCAGTCTAGCCAGGCCCTTGTTGGTGAGACAAATGTCCTGCTGGCCTATCAGTCAACATTGCACAAGACAAGCATTCTTGCCACATCAGCCCCCTAGCTTGTCCTGTACCCAGGGAAATAAATACCTAACCCAAATGCTCTTCAACTTTTAGAGAATATATTGGTATGTGTGTGTTCTGCGACGTGTTTAAGACACAAGGTCTCAGGACGGAAACAGGCATAGCCAGAAGCTTCTGGAACAAAGCCCTTCCCAAAGCAGGCTTTTCTGCAAGCTGGAGCTGGGGGTGGCTGTAGGGGAGAAGTGCATCCAGCATGTGTGGACTTCACAGCTCCATCAATCAGTTGCTGCTCCAACATGGGAGAAAAGGGGCTTCCTGTGTCCACTGCCTCTGTGCTACAACCCTCAGAGGACACTCCCAGCACAGATGTTTGGCCACACTGTACACACTGCGGGGCTCAGTGGCTTAGATGCCATTGCCAAAGCACAAGAGCGCAGAGCAGCAGTTTTCAATCGAGAAAGCAGAGCAAAATCACAGGGGAGCTTCTTCAAGCTCCGTTCCTCCCTGGGAACATTCACGGAAGGAGAAGCTGTGTTTTGCAAAAGCTTCTATGTGACCAGGCTCTTCTCCCTCGCCCTACCTGAAGAGCTATTGACAAATAGGACCTCAGGGCTACTGGGATGACGGAGGGGACAATACCTGAAGAGCTATTGATAAATAGGACCTCAGGGCTACTGGGATGACGGAGGGG